AACAAGTGGCTCGCGTAGACCCACGTGAGAAGCTACGAAGGATTTTGAGAAAAAGGCGACGGTGGGAGTTCCACCGTCGATATACTGCCGTGCTAAGGAAAAACGCCGTATGAGCCTTCAGCGTTGCCAGATCCCCCTCAATAAAAACCGAAATTACTGGAAATTTTTTAAATGTTTTGCTTCAAATTTTTCAGACGATTTTGTTCGCAATTGGATTTAAAATTCCTGAAAATTTCAAGTAAAAATATGAGTAGCTCTCCTGAAAAATGCATGATTAATCGGGGGAAATTTGGCAACTATCGAATGTTCATACGGCGTTTTTCCTTAGCACGGCAGTACAGGAAACATAGTGGTGCGAGGTATCTAAAATACATTGTCTTTGGCTCTAGCTGCGAATCACAGGCTTCGAGGATCATATGATCGGCCGACCTAACCTCTCTTTAAAACTACGTGACGACAGAAAACAAAACAAACTGATTGCAAATATTCTCGCGAGTTGCTAACACGGTGAGGTAGGAAGAAATGAAAAGAGATTATCGCTAAATAGACGCGAGTTTCTCGCGAAGGTGGGAAGAATGACACTGCGACGTTTCCTCATTTTCCTCAGCTTCGGGACATTGCTCGTTGGAACTGAGTCACGGTAAGATCTTCCGGCACACGCACGATATTTTGAATTAGAAACTGAAAAGTGATGAATTTAAAAGTATATTTATAATATTTAGGAGAATATATGTAATATTTGAGAACTGACGCCTGATATTTACACTGCCACAGGATGTTTACGGCAGAGGCGAATCCACTTTGGCAACACCAGATTTCCTCCATTTAAACCCATGCTAAATAATCGATTCTTGTCGGAGCCTCTTGCTCCTCCAAGAATCGACTGAAGGAAATCGAATGGAGGGAATCCGGTGTTGCCAAATTGCTGGCTCCGCCAATGGTTACAGAGTCGGTATGGAAAAATTCTAGGATCTCTTCACAGTTCACATGTCTCTGAACAAAATAATTAAGATTCCCTGACTTTCCACACCGAAAATTAGCACCCGTAGAAGAAAAAATAGTCGGATCACTTTGACTCGGCTTGAGGTTTCGAGGGGTAGTCATCAGAAAAACGAGAAAGTAAAAATTCCCTAACACGACGCAACCCACGCTAAAATGTTTTATTTATCTATATTTTGTACTTATTTTTTTTTTAATTTCATTTTTTTCCAAATGATTATTGATTAGGACACATCATAGCATATTTTGGAAAACTTATCCATAACTTTTCTCGAATTTCAAAACTAAGAGACACCTCAACACATGTTGATGGCAGTGCAGAGATGCAGCCATTCGTGCTTGATGGAATGATGGATGTCCAATGTCCATGCTGCATCTACAAAATTGAAGGCGCGGTGGAACTAGGCGTGAACTCAAAATTTTTCGCTCTAGGCTGCCAATAAGGTCTCGCTCAGATTCGAGAGGAAAGTTAAAAATTGAGCTCCACTTGCGTCTCTCGTATATGTTCGGCTGTCTTGCTCACGTGCACCTTTACAAATAAGACAAACGAAACCAACAAAATATGGATATAGAGTGAGAGAAAGAGGGCGAGTTGATGACGGCGCAGAGATGCGACTATTCGAGCTCGATGGACGTCACTGTTGCATCTGCAAAATTGAAGGCGCCATGGCGCGAGGCTTGAACTTGCAATGCTCTGCTCTATATAGGCGATGAAGTGTTATACTAAGATTTGGGAGAAAAGTTGCAAAATGAGGCCTTGAGGGCTCAAATAAGGTTTGGAAAAAAAAGGGGGAAAAAAAGTGAAAATAGGGACACAATTACTGCAACCTTACTGTGAACCGTAGTAATTGTACCTAGCTGTTCTTTGATTTTAAAATGTTGCAGTTCACGACAAAAAAAAAATCCGCACACACAGGCACACATACATTAACACCTAGACGTCATTTTTTTAAGTCATTTCATATCAAAACGGGATTCTGAGAAGAAAGTAGATATTCGTTAAAGGACTGGTGTAGGTTTCCACTTCAAATTTTAGATGATTAATGCTGAAGTTCTTTGATATAGTTGGTAGGGTGCTTTTAATGAATAAAGCCTGAGAGACAATAGCTTTGAGACAGGTAAAAGTTTCTAATTATTACTGGAATTAATAAATATACTGGTACGCATTAGAGTTCAAAAAATTTAATTTTGACTCTAATTATAATTTTGGAACTTCTTGGCTTTGTTTTCCCCGCGAAATTGTGTGGACACAGCACCATTTCTCCACCTTGTTTCTAATTATTAGTTGAACACATGTAAGGTATTTTTCATATCCATAAATAAGTTTTTTTTCCCCAGAACAAATCTGAACGGACTGATGCAATCTGAAGACAAAAAATTTGACGATTTACTCCGAAATGTTTTCCTCCAAAATGAGCATCACAGAAGAGAGGAAAAACAGGCAAACTTAATCTCACAGTTGGCAGAATTGTCATCTACACCGGATGGGGTCAACGGGCAACACCTGACGAATAAAAGCTCGGATGTATCAAACATTTTTGATGCCATACTTGGTAAGTCTGGAGATGAGGGGAACAGTCTCGAGCTCTTCCAGAAAACGAAAGATGATGATTTTCGAAACTTAGACAAAAACATTAAAAAAGAGGTTTTACCACTTTCGACACTTCAAAGGAATGAAGCGCTTGCCGATTTGTATTCTTTGCTAGCACCTTACATCGGAGGAAAGTCTGGAGCAGGAGATCAGGAAAAACTATACAAAAATGAAGCCGCCGAAAACGAAGTTAAGCATACCTCGCAAGTAGACGTAAAAGTTTTGAAAAGTCGCACGGACGCCAACAAACAGACCGGGACAAAATTTTTTGACAGTCGCCCGAATATGACAGACCTTCTCAATAACATCCGGAATATAACTAAAAGCAAACAAGATCAAACATCAGTTAGGACGGTTGCTGCTAGATTTCTGCAGGATCCCTTCAATATCTTTAGAGAACAGGACCTTTATTATGGACCGACAGCAACTTATGGTTGTAAGGAAACATACTCGCACTCTGCGGCAAAAGAGAATACACTGGGTGCAAATCAGAGAACAAGTGAGTTAACAGCAAAGCAAACTAGTAGATTTGATGATAGTAATTTGCAAGCTCATAACTCACAGGATGAGAGCAGCTTTACAAAGACGGGTCGGAAAATGAACCGAAGTGTCAAAATTAGAAAACGCAACAACTCAATGGCAGACAATTCAAGCAAAACTGTAAGTAAAGTCCCATTATCTTCTCCTAAGAGCTCCAACAAAAATTCAGAATTTCTGGGTGTAGGAGAAAGGTCTGGAGGAAAAACGTACCAAAAGAGCAATTCTAAACAAGAAACTCATGATGGATCTGGAGAGGAATATTCTGAAGTAAAAAAAATGGATTTTAAAACTGAGGAGATCACAGCATTGACTGCTCGAATCGTTGCGGATATTGTAAAAGAAATCGACAAGAGATATAGACATGAGTGTGAATCTGAGCCTGCCAAAGGCGCAACCCTCACTAAGAAAATGGAAGATCATACGGGATTTTTAAATCCAGATCTTTGTTCGAACTCAAGTAAAAGAGACCAGAGCAATTCAAAATTTTCTGATCAAATAGACAAAGGAAAAAAGGAGGAATATAATACTTTAAAAAGTTTAAATTTTCCTGTTGTTACCACAAAATCAATTACAAAGCCAGCTGGAATCCCTTTGTACAAGATACCAAACACAGAGATCTATATATACGATTTGTATTCTGCAAACAAATCTGCTCATGCGCAGATGAAAATCACCGATCAAAGTGATCTAGCGTCAATTCTTGATCAACTGGTTGCCACCGATTCACCAGATGGAAATTATAAAAACAGACTGGGTGAATCTGTTCTGGCTATTGACCCTAATGAAAGCTTCCTGCATCAGAGTATATTCGACAAGAACCTTCTCCCAGATTTTTTTGATTCATTAATTCAATCTAAGTCTGAGGCGGCGAAGGAAAAAGGAGCCTCTAAATTCACAGATATTGATTCACCGATTACTTATACCTCTGATTCAAGTCAAGTCATCCCTGAAATTGAGATTCACATACGAACAGTCCCATTAGGATCAAAAAACGCATCAAATGTTGATCTATCCCACAAAAAACCTATTTTCGGCAGAAGAGACCCGTTTTCTGACATATTGCTGTTCAATGGGCGAAGCCAGAAGAATTCAAAACCAACATCAAAAACACCTTATCAACGCAAAGTAATAGGTCAAAGCCAGCACCCACCCAAAAAAAATACAGTCCTGAACCAACAGCCCAAATTAGATTCTGATGATCCACAGGCATCAAAAAAAGTTCGAAGTTTCTTTGGACTGAAAGCAAGATAAAGAAACTAAATGCAGTTTTAAGTTAGACACACTCTGCTCTTCTAAGAACATTAAGATTTTACGCGAAATAAGTAAAATAATTATTTATTTAGAAGTTTCGGACATGTAGATTGCTCTTCGGCTTAGATACCCCAAAAAATCGTTTTCTTCGAGGACATGAAATACAAGAATAATTCTCTCCTTGTCCAAGCAATACAGCTCTGCTTGGGAAGTATTGGAACCAGTAACCTAACAAACTTCATATGTAATTAGCTGCTTCCTGGATTTGTTTTTGTTTTCAGTTTCAATTTAAAATTTTTAAGGAGGCCTTGTAAATGATATAAGAGGAGATCACATAATTTTCTTTTTATGATATAACAAGAAGAGGAGGACACTTGCTAATCGGCAGTGCATTATTAGGTCAATCATTTAACAGCAAGAAAAATAGGTAAATAGGGTGATCATCATCAAGCATTAACTATTTTGAAAGTATTTTTTCCCTTTTGAGTAAAAAAAAAAGAAAGAAAGAAAAAAAAAATAACTAGTCATTTTAGATAAGCTCTTCTTGTTATTCTTCATATTTGATTATTTTCTACAAATCAAATTTTACGATTTTTCTTAGATATTGAGAAAAAATTGGTCAGATTGACCTTTCAAATGGGTCAGTTGCACTAAACGCAGAATAAAATCATAATCAATTAATGCTAAACATCACCAGATAGAATTCTTAAAAAAATGAATCAACCAAGCAATGTAAATTGTAAATTTTATCAAGCTAAAGAATAGGATTTTACTGTTGATGTGTACCATTAATATGAGTAAATCAAATTTCCAATTTACATGGCACTGGCTTATTTATTTTCGTACAAAATCATGTTTTGATGGTTTGAGCTTATTAATCAGCAAATAATAACAAGATCAGTTAAACTGCTTTTCTTTGTACAGCAGACGTTAACAAAAATATGACCCATCAAAAAACGTGGCATGTGACATCGTCCACTGCAGTAATACATACAGGTCTATCATAGTTTCTCCCATCTTGGTTTGATCAATTAGTGATACACACATTCGCACTGATCACTTGACATAAAACACGGATGAAAGCAAGATGGAAGAAACCACGGTATGCACTATTGCAGTGGATGATGTCATACGCTAAGTTTTGTGATAGGTGATATCCTCCACAGATACTTGACAATGAATTTGAAATTTGGATTGATCTCATAAATTTCTACGAATATATTAGTTCGAACCATCGAAACAACACGATTCTGCGACTACGGCAATTGTCCATGAGAATAAATAGCAAAAATTCTACAGTTTCATGCACTCAGACTATTATAAAATCTCTCAAGTAGATATAAAATCTCCAAGATAGTCATCATAACAGGAGAGTAAAAAATTAAAAGCAAGCTATTTCTTTCTATTAGTACAAACAAAAAAGTAAGATTTTTTTTTTTTTATTCTCTGAGGAAAGATAATTTCAACCAAAATTGAGTATAGATAATAGGAATTATTATTTTAAAGAACCCTGCATATCTATATAAATGCTTGCTTTGGATGAGGGTTTGAATTTTAATGTCTCTCCGAAAAAATAAATTCAACGACTTAGTCATAAATTGTAGCTGTGTAATAATGTCAAATAGAACCAGAAGTGCAATATTATGACTTATATAGCACCAATATAGCAACATATGGCATACCATATACCATATAGCAACAATGTTAATATTATAATAACTTATGAAATGAAATATTTTATGGTAATGAAATCGTTATTAAATGACTAATCTGGCTAAATAAGGTCATTTTAATTTTGGAAAAAAAAAAAAAAAAAAAAAAAAAAAAAAAAAAAATTTAAATGTGTGGTTGAAGGGGGAAATTAACCTTAAATGATGATACGTACATAGCATAATATTCCGATTGAAATTGGGGTCCTCAGTACTGATTGATAATTCTCAGGTAAAATTTGATTGAAGAAAACAACCATTAGGAGAATTGTAATCAAAGAATGAAGCCATAAAACTTCAGTTATCTTCAGAGATAAGTATTCAAAATATCTTGATGAATTTTTGAACATTGGAGGTTTATTAAGGTTGAATTAATTTTAAACTTGCAGCGATGCATTTCAGGTAAGATTTTATAAACAATTTTGTTTGATAGACAAATGTGTTTAAGGAGTCACAATATATGGTATTCAGGATAAATTGAGTATGAAGCGTAAAAAATTCTGAGTCAAATGTTTGAAGCGGAAGACAGGCTGTGATTCTATAATGTTCAAAATGGGGTGTACCAAAATAATTAATTCTACATAGAACATGCTTAAAAATAACAATGGCATGAAGTGAGACATGGAAAATATAAGAGTGATGAAAATATTTTGTAGCTAAGATTTTCAACGGAGTAAAAAAATTAAAAATATCCTTGAGTTAAGAATTAAATGAACTACATTTTGCAATAAAGAACTTCTATTTCCTGCTCATTTTAGAAACACCGTATGTGTCATTACTTCCCTGGGTGGATAAATTTTTTTATGGACGAGACAAAAGTAGCAGTTTTTAATTGCGAAATGAAGTCCAAACGCCAAATGATTAAATGTGAATTCCCTTGACGTCATTTGACGGAAAAATAGGACCCCTTTCCTGATGATTGATTCTGCTCTTACATGAGGCCTCCTGGTTTTTACTCTACGATGACACTACCTGAACAATTCTGCAATGAAATGTTTGTCTGCCATATACATACTCTCCTCACAGGGCGATACATTTTAAAATAAGTAGGAAAAATTATATTTCTCAGCTCATAACATTGCGTTTCTTGGGACAAAATAAATTTATTGCAAACAGTAGGTAAAGCGAACAAGAGAGGTGATCCTTACAGAAAAAGCTCAAAAATTACATACAAGCTTGAGCGCACCCTCTCACCATCCGTGTGAGAAATGAATGCACTTTTTCTTCTTAATGCTAAGCTGCGTTATTTTTGAGCGATTTTCCATTAAGGACAAATCTTCTTGTAGCTCTAGCTGCTGTAAGCAGCAGGCAGTTATTATGTTAGTTTGTTGAGTCATTAAATTACATGGAAAGGATCCCTCCTTTTTTTCTTCCGATTCAAAATATTTAAAGCACCTTCATGAAGCTACCTGTTTTTATTCGTAGCACTCAAACCTTTTCAACTGGAAGTTAGCTACACCAGTTCATCTGTAAATTCACCCCATTTTACATAATTGCAGCATACTTTTACATCAAAGAGCGAAAAACTCAAGCTTGATAAGCTAGAGAAAATTTTGAGGAGTGGTCACTAATTTACCAATGAGAGAAGTTGAAATAATCGAAACTGATGAAGGTTGTGTACTTCGGAAGTGCATTTTACCACAAAGAATTCCTTGCACCCACTATAAATATTGTAAAGAGAGTCAAGGCCAGGAGAGCTATTTTTTATTATACATCCACGCGACGTTCTTTTTGGCCTCAATTTTGATTGTTCGAACAGTCAAAAATACTAAATCCACCACTCATAGAATATGTAAATTACACGTTCAATGAGATACTAGTTAAAATACTTAAAATTTATTTTACAACTTTTTTAGATTCTATAATTTCCTCTATCAGGTACTGTTGTTAAGACACAATGCCTATACCGCATCCACATGGTTGTTGGTAGATTTGTTCTTTGTGTTGTTACATCATGCAGACACTAACAAAGGCTGTCTCATAAATACAGACCTGGATTAATGCTGCACAAGGTCTGTCCTGAGAGTATCCAGCCTTGTTTTCATTCTGATATCTGCGGCAGATAACAGGCTGTGGCTGGGCCTGAACTTTGCCCAGAGTTCTAAGTTCAGGTGTACTGCCCCAGTGCAGTGCCCCATCATCGGTTAATAGTTGGCAAATGATTGATGAGTAAGTTTGACAAGTCAGTTGGGAATATAGTGGTTTGTTCGATATATGTTCGACCAAGCAAGCAAATAAAAAAAATTTGAAGGAGACAAATATTGAGCTTTTAGCCGATTTTCTTTTTAATAATAAGTAAACTCAGGCCATGCTTAAAAAATCATCGTGTAAGAGAATGTTTATTTAAACTTCACCTTAAAATTGAGGACACCGCACCAAGAACAGCTTATAGGCGTATAAGTCGTTATTACGCCCATCTGCTTTTTGGATTCTACGTACCCTGGACTATGCTGTGGTAGCGATAGAATATAGATAGGTAACAGCTCGAGGTCGAAAAACCTTTTTTTTTCCGAGTTAAGTCAGGTCTCTGGATCGATGGGTGCAAGAACGACCTATAAACGGGCCTATAAACTTAAGGGCCTGAAAGGTGCTAGTTACCCCTTTCTTTACTCACTATCGATATTCTTTCATTTTGCGTTAATCATGCGTGATTAAAACGATTTATACTTCATATTGCCACCGAAATGACTGTTGGGCGTAATAATGGCCTATAAACTGCTTTTTTAAATTAAATATATTAGAGTGTAAATCCAAAATGTATCGCAAAATCTACCCGGCATCCGTCGATAAAAGGGTTAGGTCACCCAAAAACACCAAAACAGGGTACCTGCAGAGAAAAGTCTGCGCAGTACATCAAAAACAAAACTTTAAATGCATTTTTCTCAAAACGCGGTTTCCAGTTATAGGCTGTTCTTGGTGCGGCGTCCTCAATTGAAACAATAGCAAACGTTTGCTATGATCGCCATGTTAAGGTAAATTTTAAATAAACATTCTCTTGTAAACTGTTTTTTTTAAGGCATGGCTTGAGTTTATTCATTATTAAAAAGAAAATTGGCTAAAAGCTCAATATTTGTTTCTTTCATTATGCGTAGCTGAAAACCTTACGATTTTGCTAAAAAAATTTGTACCAATTTTTGCCTCAAGCTCAAGAAAACGTCATCAAAAACAATCTAAATGATTAGTATGCATTTGCAGATGATTCAAAAGAGACAATGGAAAAAGAGTTTTGATTTTGATGGAAGAGTCGCAACAGTGCCAAGGAAATGCTGACGATTTTGCCTACAACAGGGATGTTGTCTATCATAAAGGCTCTTGAGGGCCAAACAATTAACAGAGAAAATTATCAAGAAACTTAATTGTAGGGAATACAGGATGCCATTCTACACATACGACCTTAAATTAAGAGCAAGCAACAGCTCGATGCTTCAAAAAAACAATGCTCCAAGCTCATTCCTATTATCTTATTCAGCAGTTCTTGGTTAAGCACAGCATCACTCAAATACCACATTCCATATTCAGCCTAATGCCTAGTGCCTTGAAATCTTTGGTTCTTCCTGAACCTCTAAACTCCATAGAAAAGTAACTGATTCAAAACGGTTGAGAGCATCGAAGAACATCAATCCTCAAAAGTGGACTTCTCCAAGTGCTTCAAACGTTAAATAATGCTAGGCCAATTTTATCTTGTCTATTTGAGATTACTTAGAAAGATATAAAACCTTCCACATCATAAGATAGCATTTACTCCAAAAAACAACAAATGCCGGATAATTTCTGGACAGACCTCATACTTCAAAAATTAACAATAAGCTACTTGTTAAGCTGATCAAGATGGAGCTGCTTATTAAGCTGATCAAGATAAAGCTACTTGTTATGCTGATCAAGATGGAGCTACGTGTTGAGATGGAGTAAAAGCAATCGATTGAAACCAAGATCAACTTATTTAGACGAAAATTTCCCAAATTATTGCAGTTTGAAAATAGTATGTATAAAAAACACCTTCATATAATTTTGGCAGTTGGTATCGATCAGAATATCACTAACTTCAGTTAGTTTTGCCATTTTCTTACAGTTCCTTTCAAAACCCTCCCCATTTGCAGCTCAAGGCAATTGCCTGAGTTGCTTCACCGTAAGAAATCCAGTCATGCACCGTTAGAATCCAGTGAATGATACATTAGGTACAGCGGCCTGATTGTTGAAATTTACGTCGGCACGACAAGAATCGAAAATCAATATATTACTTGGCGCAGATAGGGCTATGTCTTGTCTTATCGTGCCGACATAGCCGGTTAAAGTTTCCACAACGTTCCGGCTGATGGATAAAAAAAATAGTGATAACGATAAAGCATGAAAACATAGCCCGAATATACGAATAAAGAGGAGATTTAATTAAAAAATGGGTAAACAAGGCTAAAAACTGATTAAAACACTGAAAGGCTGGATGTTTCGAGCTGTTACCAGCTCATTTTCAGCTGCAAAAACACATAAAAACAAGAAAAAAATTAAGTGTTTTGGACACCAGTAACCCATTGTAGATAACAATAAAGCACAAAAACATAACTCAATTTTTTTCTTGTTTTTATGTGTTTTTGCAGCTGAAAATGAGCTGGTAACAGCTAAAAACATCTTGCCTTTTAGTGTTTTAATCATTTTTCAGCCTTGTTTACCCATATTTTAATTAAATCGGCTTTTCATTTGAAAAAAAGAGATAAACACACAAAGGGATAAGAAGAACACCAATTGGGATACAAATTAAACGAGAGATACTAAGGTATAAACTGTATAACTGAGAATAAGTCAAATGTTTGAACAGTAACTTTGAAGTGCTTATAGTTGTGGACTTCACCTTTCTTGAGGTAGGAACTCTAGGAGTAATTTCTTGTAAAAGACGGAACTTACGAATCTCCTCCTCTCCTAAAAAGCCAATAAATGGTAGTTCCCGCATTCTATATTCATAGATTCTTTCCAGATAATCGTTATTATCAATTTTGTCCAGTAATTCCCGGAAAGCATACATCAACTCACATGAAAACCTTGGAAAAGTTACAGTCTGAGAAACGAGGAATAATTGAAATCTACTTAAATGTAATGATACTAACTCAGATGCATTCGAGGTTGTAGGCTCAATCTTTGGCGTTTTTGCAGAGTTTCCAGCATCAGGTGAAGCCATTTCCAGGAGTTTTCGCTTTCGGAATCCCATCGAAGGCGATTGATTCGTTACAGGGGTGGACATGCTCTCTAGATAGTCTTGATACTGGGCAAATGTTCGGACTGTGTAATTCTTTGGCTCAGTACAGTTCACTAGATTCTTGATAACTTTCTGAATCGTGTTGTTGCTTTTATCATAGAGAGAGACCCAGGCAGAGGTTGAATTGCACCAGACTACATCCACATCACCTTAAAAAGAGAAGCCAGTGCTCAATTAAATTAAACGCTTTTTTGATTATTGGACTGCATAAAAAGTTCCATTAAAAAATTAAAAATTCAGAGGAGATGGACGGAAATAAAAAATAAACAAAATTATATCTTGAATAATTAATAAAGTAATTATGCATGATTACAGAGGTTGAAAATTTGAAAAGTAAGTAGAGACACAGATAAAGTAAGGAAATTAATAATAGAATTGCTAGGTGCAAAAAGAGCACTTTTCGGTTGCAGTGTTCCAGTATCTCTACTAATATTTTGTTCACTGTAATGAAAATGAATGCATGCATTTCAAGGTTGGGTGCAGACCATTCATTTCATATTAATTTTATATTAATGTATTTATATCAATTATTCTCCTCCTTTCATTGGCACTTTGCCCTTTTAAAATAATTTTATTGAATAGAAAATACTCTGTGCATATGGAAAAGGTTTGAATAGGCTTTGAATAATTTGACGGGGCTCAGATTTTAAGCTAGACCAGGGTGTCTAGAATTTTTGACAAGGCTCATTCTCCGATTTTTCTCTGATTTTCAGGAGCTCATTCCCGGATGAAAAACTGAAGTTTTCTCTAACTTTCCCGGGATTTTCGAGGGTAAAAATAAATTTTTCCAGAGTTCCATGTATCAATACAAAGGCTGTCCCAAAAATAAGTGGACTGATGCTGTAATTTCCGAACTGATCATCGCAGCGATCTTTTCTTGGTCGTGTTTTAAAGATCAACTCAATACCTATCGATTAAGACCAAGATCATCAAAATCGGTCAAAAATTGACCGAGTTATGACGTTTTCCGTGAGAGGAGTAAAAATTCAGCCTACCGTTTTTTGAAGGAAATTTATTCTTACCGAGAGTTACAAGTTTCAAGCTTCGTCTTCGCTACTTGCTAACAATGATGAATTTTTCGATTCCTTTTCGAAGTATTGTCCGTGAGACTTGATGCACAATCTCATGCGTTCTTGCCATTTTTCGGTCATTGTTTTATGAAAATCTTCGATCTGAAGGGTGTTGAAGAACTTCTCGACTGCAGTCTTGATTTTTGCCTTCGACTCAAACTTGCGGCCTCGCAATCCCTTGTCAAATTACACCAAAGAATTCTTTGCAAAAAATGGTATTGAAAGTATCCGCCATCCACCATACAGCCCCGACCTCGCACCATGCGATTTTTGGCTCTTCCGCACGCTCAAGAAGGGATTGCGCGGCCGCAAGTTTGAGTCGAAGGCAGAAATCAAGACCGCAGTCGAGAAGTTCTTCAACACCCTTCAGATCGAAGATTTTCATAAAACAATGACCGAAAAATGGCAAGAACGCATGAGATTGTGCATCAAGTCTCACGGACAATACTTCGAAAAGGAATCGAAAAATTCATCATTGTTAGCAAGTAGCGAAGACCAAGCTTGAAACTTGTAACTCTCGGTAAGAATAAATTTTCTTCAAAAAACGGTAGGCTGAATTTTTACTCCTCTCACGGAAAACGTCGTAACTCGGTCAATTTTTGACAAATTTTGATGATCTTGGTCTTAATCGATAGGTATTGAGTTGATCTTTAAAACACGACCAAGAAAAGATAGCTGCGATGATCAGTTCGGAAATTACAGCATCAGTCCACTTATTTTTGGGACAGCCTTTGTATCTTTTTCAATTAATCTTTCAGTCATTTCTTTGGCGCACATTCAAAATTTCAATTCCGATGGCATTCCTGATGATTATATTGTATGGTCAATGAAAGCTTCTCCATTCTTTTGATGATTTGAAGCTTCAAATGTTTAATTCAAGAAGTCAGGAGTAGCGCTCGGTCAGATTAGACTGCCAAATTTGTAAATGAAATGATCCCTAAGCGGTAGAAAAAGAGATTCCCGGTTTCTGGAACAGATTCCCTGATTTTCAATTTTTTTCATTCCCTGATAAATTCCGGTTTTTCCCGTTCTAGACACCATGAGCTAGACAGATTTACTGCGGTACTACTTTTCCATTTGTCTGAGATTTGTCCAGAACAGGTTCAATGTACTTACCATAAGGTTTGAAGAGACTGATTAGATCAGAAGTGGCCCACTCTTTAGGAAAATCAACATGAAAGACGTTTCTTCGAAAGAGAACAGCTAAAATTGAAAAGAAAAAAAAAACGGAAGAAAAATTAAAATACTTCTCAACAGATTTTCTCAGTTTTTAAAAGTTACACGAAAGCAAGATACGACTTAGACACTTGCTGGAAGAGAAAAAACACAATGATAAAAAAAAAAAAAAGGAAACCACATGGTACACATAGAATATCAACAGTGAACTAGAAGAACACACCCCTTGGTGGTATCTATCATTTGAACTTCTTGTCAAAAATATTTCAATGCTGAAGAATCCATGTTTAAAATTCTTGAAATCAGGTAAAATTTTTCTTGAGCTATCTTAACTTATTCTCAAAATAGTGACGCAAACATGTATGGAAGAAGGAACTTCTTCTTAGAAAGTTAAAGTCAAATTTTTTGATGTTCTTATAAATAATTAAGCTCTTTTATTTTGCAGTAATCAGCAAGATGGATTACATTTTGCAATTAGGGACTACTATTCCTTCCTCATTTTAGAGACAACGTATGTGCCGTTAGTCTCCTCATGCAGATAGGTGCTTTTGCAGATGAGTTAGAAATAGCTGTTCTGAATTGCAAAATGCAGTTCAGTTATGGTATTAGTGTTTAAAATTTCGTAAGACAGGGGTAAATAGGATTCAACTTACGATCTTTGCCACCTAAATTGATGTAAGGGGCATCAAATCTCCTCATAAGGTACACCCTGAAAGAAAATTCATAAAAGTTGATAAAAATAAAAAAGACTGTGAAACCCAGGATGATTAGGTAATTTTAGACAGAATCTATAGAGAATTCTAGGACTTCCAAGAATTTGAGAATCAAGTTATTGAGGAAAAAAGAAAGAAGAACCTAAAATTTAAGCAGAAAGTGGTCATATTTTGCAAAGAAATTATTAAAGAATTAAAGAAGCGATGATTTGATTTGTATATCGATTTCAAAATTTGAAAAGTGCAAGTCTCAATTGTAACCTTTCAAAATTTCCAATTATGTTTCACTTCTTAGAAAGAAAACTAACCAAAATTTCAAGATAAAGTGATCCTTAGTTTTCTTTCGAAAAGATAAAACATGAGCGGTGATTTGCAACTTCGAAATCAGAGATACACATTTTTCTACTTTAGCCATCAATACAGAATTTTTCTTACATAATAATGGGCAATTGCTTATTTCCTACTTTACAGAAAAAATAATAAAAAGGAAACATCTTTCATGAGAAAAAACTTACTGACAATTGCACTTTGCTAGAATGACAGTAATATTAATCCCTACAATGGGCCTGTTGCAAACTTTTGCTAGCACAAAACTAAGAGTTGTTTCTTATAGATAATGCCTCAAAAATCACGATGAGCGCATCGGCAAAGTCTGAAATGCACTCATTACTTCACAATCTGCGTAAGAAGATTGCGGTTTTTTGAGCTTCCCGCTTCAAAAACGATACCACGGCACAGGTGAACATTTTGTTAGAGGAGTCGTTCCATCGTCTGCAATACTCATCATGGCCGACGCCAATCCGCCAAAACACGTGTGATGGTACGAGAAGAACCTGAACAGGATTAGACCAGATAACAATCGACGTGTTTACGTTCATATTTTTCTCGCCCGCCTTGATTGACCTTGAACTCTCCTCGAATTACACGCAGAACTGCGCAAGCATCGGCCATGATGAATATTGCCCACGATGGAGCGACTCCTCTAACAAAATGTTCACCTGTGCCGTAGTATCGTTTTTGAAGCGGAAAGCTCAAAAAACCGCAAATTTCTTACGCAGATTGTGAAGTTATAAGTACAAATCAGACTTTGCCGATGCGCTCATCGTGATTTTTGAGGCATTATATATAAGAAACAACTCTTATTTTTGCTCTAGCAAAAGTTTGTAACAGGCCCATTCAGACCGAAAATGACCATTTTCCTACCTTCACGCTAGAATGAATTTTGCTACATGAGATTCAAACATTTCGGTAGGAAGCTTAAAGATACATTGTGTGACATTACACATGTGGAACAACTCTTTATGAATGCAATAGTGTCAAGAATAAAAATTTCCGGAGATGGATTGCCGTCATTTTCGCAAAGTGAACTTTAATTGGTACGGGTATTTCCAAACTCAGATCCTAAATTTTGTTTCTTTCGATTGGCTTAAGAAGAAAAGCACCATACTTTCTAAATGACCCAGTTGCATTCTGTTTTCTCTTTGAAAAATGGCTGTCAAATAGATAAATAAAGTGGAATAGCACTGAGCATTGGACAAGCCGTAGTTCCGTTTCTGAACATTCCTTCCTGGTTAATGTTAATTACGCACCAGAATATTTCTTATTCTACCACACACCATATCTTACAAGCATTTTTTAATTGCTCTGATTAGCTTTTCAAATTCTGAGAGATACTTTGTACATAAAGAAATTGTGAATATTTTGACATCGACTTTTTGGCGCTCAGCCAGTAATGGATTATAAATCTTCAACTATTGAGAGGGATTTTATGAAAAACCAAACAGAATTATAATCCGTCCCGTTTGATTGATTGACACCAAATAGCATGCATGAATAGTTGGAGTTGATAAAGTAACTGAAGTATCTCAAATTGAATTTGAATGGTGATTAAAAAAAATTAATGAAAAAAGTTTAGTACATACTTGTTGATGAAATCTTTTAAAGCTGGCGCATTTGAAATGTAAGAGCTACTATAGTTCAAAGCATCAAGCTTCTTCAAGGAATCTGTGGAAAAATATGCATGAAATCAATCAGAAAATAAGCAAACTTTATTAAAAAGAAAAATACAATTGAAGGATGACTCTGAGAGTGGCGTACTATTGCTGCTTCAAGAATTTGCAGCAGGTTGTGTCTGAATTTTACGCGTTGTTAGGTCAATGCTCCAAGTTTTTAAACGTGAAGTGGGTAAACTGTCCAAGATTCTAAATTGATCCGTTCTAACATATCATTGCTTCCATTCATGGATTCAGCGGCTCAGGAAATTTTTGTAATTTGTTTTGCAGAATTGTGCAGGTCTGGTTTTACAGTAATTTGATTCAGATTCTATGATTGAGATTACAATATCATTTCAATATGGGGTATGCAATTTTTTTTCTGATACATACTTAAGTGGTCATACAAGGCTAAAAAACAGACTCCGGTCATAAATGCATCGTATCCTGCTTCGTGTTCCTTGACGTCTTTCAGGGCATAGCCAGATCCTTCCTTGTCCATAGCTGAAAAACAAAAGAATCCCTTGGACTTTGAGGCAAAAAAAATTACTGAGAAGCTTAAAATTTAGAGTACTCCCAACATCACACTGTGAGGAATGACACTGAATGTGAGTTAAAGTATCCATTAACACCTATAGTTCTTTTTATCTAAGGCATATGATACACATTTTACCCTTACTTGCAGATGAAGAAATTGATAAAGCTACAAGTATGTCAGGTGGCAGGTTATTGGATACTTAAGGATCTGAGACTCCAGCAGCCTGATTGTTGAAATTTTGTGTTTGTCGGTTGGAAATGGATGACATAGGCTAAATGGCGAAGCGTGACGGTTGGCTATGTCTTATCATTGCTTTGTCGTGCTTTGTCCTGTGGAATGGACGAGATACTGTCAGATACTCAAGAGGTGCCTTTAGCTTGTCGTGAATTCCACCCAACAAAGCATGAAAAAGCAACGATAAGACATAGCCGACCAATCACGCTTCGCCATTTAATCTAAATCATCCATTTCCATCCGACAAACACTAAATTTCAACAATCAGGCTGCAGTCTATCTTGTCTGTTCTCTAGCCAGTGATTGCAACCGTCTTTTTGTCCGTTTTTGGTTGAAACAGTCACAGACACCTAGCCATACTACAATAAAAGTAATTGCTGCGTCTTCCTATCACTTCATTGACTTTGACTTTCTTTAGGAATAGATTTACACCAGTTCCTGAAAAGAGAACTTATTGCTTTTAAGACTTTCAAACTATACTCGGATCCAGTATAATACTGGAAGTGTTAGTATCTTACCAATCTGCTGCATTTCAAAAGGCTCTGTTTGAATCGTTTCTAGAAGGTGTGGTAGGACGCTTGATCGAATTTTCTCTTTCAGAGGAGCTAAAGAACACATCACTTTAGTATCTATCACTCTAAAATTGAAAACAAACAAAAAAAAAACTCCATTACTATTATTCAGGAATGGAGGTATTAACTGTAAATGTTTTTAATTGTTTTATCAGTTTTTGAAGGATGCTTCTGGAGTACCTTTGAGGAGGCATTTCAGGAGACATACTTTATTTGGTTGTTAATATAGAACAGGATCTATTAGCATTAGTTTTAAGAAATGCCACACACGCACGATAGATCTTTCTACCTGAGGGAATGGTCAAACTTTGTGGTGTCCTATTGTGAAGAAAAGAAGAGGAGGACACAAAAGATATGGAAAAAGAAGAAGAAATTAAGAAAATTATTTAGAAATCTCAATATTAAACTCTTTTAGGTGAAAACCCATTGTTTTTTCAAGGGACCTTGCACACTCCTTATGCAAAAGTGTGTTCTGGTCGATTTTAAATTTTTTCATTGCATCCAACTCATCTATGGATGCTGACCAAAAATCACCCATACTCCAACTTTCTACAAAGTACCGTTTTTGCATGATTCGCAGTTGAAGCTTCAATAATTCGGCAATAAAGAGTCAAGAAGATCCCTCTTTCTTTTGGCGCTCAAGAACAGGCCCACTGAAAACAAAGAAAATCGTAGCTCATATCTGTCCTTTGGTCTGTTCCTGCCTACCTCCCTCCTGCTCTCGTACTTTTGCTGAAGCAAAAAGACATGCGAAATTCGAGATAAGACTGTCGCTTAGCATGAACATACTAGCGTTTTCCTTGTTCTCAGTGGGCCTGTTTCCAAGTGCCGAAAGACTTTTGACTCTCTATGGCAGAATTATTGAAACTTCAACCACAGATTGTGCAAAACAGTGCTCCATAGAAAGTTGGTGCAATGATACTTTTGGTCAGCATCCATGGATGAGTTTGATCAAATAAAAAAATTGAAAATCGAACATGGCACATTTTCCCATAAGGAGTACGCAGGGTCCTTCATGTTCCACATATTCAATATTGCAGTAAGTATCTTAATTTTTTAGTATTATTTCGTTCAATTATTGTTGAAAATCAAACACCTCAACTGAGGATGCTTCAGCGAAGACAGAATTTTTACAAAGAAGAAAGCTCCTGATTACTCAGACCCTGTTTGGTGAGTTTAGTGATGTCCATTTGATGAACTTATTTGAATTTTTTCACATAAATTCATGCACAACGGCAGTGCTACGATTCTTTATAAAAACAGGTGTAAAAATTCTAGCAAATTCACTTTTTAGCCCGATGGAACTGGATGATTGAAATTTCAGTTCCTTGACTTTTTCATAGCAAATACATATAGTTCAGTAACTATCTTGCATGTACACAAATGAACTCTGGTCAGGGGGGGCAACAAGTAAAAAAAATTATGACGAAGTTTAACATTGATTAAGAAAATTAGAACAATACATAGAAAAAAGAGGACTGGGAAAAAATAGATACTAAAATTAAAATTCTGAGTGTACGCAGATCTTGATGATGGGCAGAGGCATCAAACACATTGATAAAAGTACAATTTTTAATGATTGAATTTTCAACGAGGAATGGATGAACTTACTTGGGCAGTGTGAAATGGGTTATTTCTTTGAATTCTTCATAGCTAGATTGAAGTGGAGTGCAAAATTGAGATATAGTGTAGAAAATATCCAGGAACATATTGTGGCCAACGACAAGTTTACCCTGTGTACAAAAGTTCATCTATTGGTAAAACTTCACTATTATTTCCAGATGATGACACGTGATTGCAACATGAAGACCAAAATAGAATGAGTATGTAATGCACTGAATAATTAGGGTTGCCACAGAATTTAGAAAATAAAATTTCCTGATTTTCCTGACACTTTTTAGTGGAATTCCCTGACAATTGAAGATGTGACGGTTGGTTAAGAAGGCATGATTTTAGGCCAAATTTGTTGTTCAAAATCTCAAACCCACTCTAGAAGGCAAATGAAGGTAATTTAACAAATTTTCCCTGCCATTTTCGTCATTTTCCTTCACTTTTTAAAATTTCCTGTTTTCCCTGACTGTGGCAACCCTGAGTAATGTGGCCGAGAAGACTTTGTTGAATTAGATAATTAACAAAAGAATTAGGGCTGCCCTAATAGGGCTCTTCAGCCTCACACTTTTATTGAAGAGAAAAGCCAACATTAAAACCTAAAATGTATCAATTTTATGAGAAATCCGTTCGGAGGGCAGATTCTTCCCTGAAAAAGATTCGAAGATTTGAGTTTTCATCAATACTTACAGACTCAGATATAAGCCTAATAATTGCTGAGAACCCAACAGTTTCCTTTAGACGTGCCTTCATTTCTTCTAATGCTTTCATAGACTTAATCCTCTCTAATTCTTGCCTGCTTGCGCCTTTAGTCACAATCAAAGATATTGTTCGATTTGGCTGCTTCTTGGACTCCATGATGATGGGGTCAGTAGAGAAGTTTTTATCCACAGCCTAAACAAAAATGAAGAAAGAATGAAGAAAGAAATGAAGTTATGAAGAAATGATTCATTATTTTATTGCCTGGTTCTTGTTGGTAATTCCTGATAGGCGGTAAAATGGGTGACTTACTCACTACAGCTATTTTGGCGTTAAAATGCCATCATCAGATGAAAATAAATACAGCAAGAACAAGGCTCTGTTATACCATAGTGCAGTAGGAACTCTGAAGTTCTAATTTGCGGACCAATTGTGGAATACAAGAAAGAACCAGTCAATAACATGCTACAACACTAAGAAAACCTGATCTGAATTCATAATTTTGTCATCATTGGAATGTTCGGTAAAAAAGTTGAGTAAAAATTACTCTAAGTGTTGGTATTATTTTTATTTTTCAACAGAAAATAAAAGTAATGGGTAGAGTAAGGGGGAAGCCAAAGGAAGGCAGGGATAGCGGACGGCTTATTGACGGTGAAACGACATGACCGTCTGCCTTGATTTTGGTGCTTTAAAATCTCTGCTCCTATTTTATTTTTCAAGGGAGACCAAACAAATATCATTGCTTGTCATTTTCCACAACATTCTTCACAAAGAGAACAGACATAATTGATGTTTTCAAGAATGACATTGAGCAGTTTCCATGTAGAAAATGAAGTATGACAGGAAGTCTGTAACATAGCAAACCGAGGTACTCGTTTCTGCAATATCACATCGTAACTTAGCGTTACACTCGTGATTTTATTCTACAAATACAGTAAAACATGGTGTGTGATAATCTCATTATATAAAACTAATATGTTTTGTACTGAAATTGAATTTCAAGTCATTTTTCTGATTTGCTCATTGAATAGTGAATTATTAATTTCTTCACAAAAAAATCCTGGTCCCGACCAGGGGTGCATTATACTCATGAACATCTTTATTTTCTCTAATTTATAGGTGAACTTCAAAAAATTGTAAAGCTTGATGATGTTTGGTGTTCTACCAAAAATATAAAATAAGAGAGCAAAGTTTATGATACATTACACATCTAGGTAAATCTGCGGTTTGTGAAGATATTTAATTTTTCACATTTTAACTATGTTAGTTGCCAATTTGATTAACTTAATTCGGGTAAGTAACCTTTTTCAATTCACCCTAATTCATTGGAATTGAGTGGAAAATTACTTTCTTATCCCTATCAAATAGTTTTCTTTTTTTGTGCCATTCAACCATTTTGAACACCTCCAGGTCTGTTTTCACTCCCTCATGCGAAACCCCCCCCCCCCCAGCTTAATTTTACAAATTTTATTCTATTTTTAATTTTGAACCATGTGCATGTGTGTACCAAAAATAGAACAATTTCAGAGTAGGAAACAGTAATCGTTGTCTATAAAAAGGAAAGTATTCAATTGGAATAAAAAGGTAATTTTCCATTCAATTTTATTTATAACAATTTCAATTTTCTCACAAATACAAACCTGGTAAATAAGTTTCCGTGCAAAACCATTGGGTTCTTCGATTTCAATTGAATCACCTGGCTTGCCTTTATCGATCAGCGATTGAATTTTATTACTAAAACAAATAAAAAGAGAGAACATATATTTAGATACATAATATAAATTAACTGAGCAAAATAAAAAAAAGTTGTGATAGTTGAATAAAATCCATCAATATGAAAACACACCTACAAGAGGAGATTTTTCCTTGCTACACTCAAATAACTAATATATTCTGAGAAGTAGTACACCTCTAAGCCTTTACAGTGCTGACAAATCCTTCAATATTTGTAGAAAATGTTTGATAAAGAGCCTTTCGGCCAATGAAGGAATTCAACGGTTTAAGTTGTGAAAAATCACAGCGAAACTGTAGAGCCCTGTTTTATTAGCGGGTTTCTAAGGGGAGAGGCCAGCATCAGATTGATGGCCTGGCAGGTGCCTTGATTTGATTCAGAAAGAGATACCTGGGACTGTGGATGGCGGATGTGCCTGAAACTTGTCTCCCAGTGCTCATTCCGAATCAGAAACTTTTGTCATCTCTAGTTGTGCATCTCTAGTTTTAAAAAAAGAAAATCCCCAACTACCAAAAAAATCGGCATTTTCACCTTTAAAACGCTATATTTTACATGGAATTCCCACATTTTTTCCTGTCCTACGGGTTCCTCCACTTCACACGACCGGCTCATGACCAGACCAATCACGGGGTTGGAAACTTTCTTTTCTTTTTTTTCTTTCTTTAAATCTCTTGCTAATCTTCACTAAAGTATTAGAAGCCTCTACACGGTCAACTTGAATGATAAAAAAAAGAGAAAACAGTGATGTTTTATCCTTACCAGGCACTGTCAACATTCTCTTTCAGATCATCAGGAATTTTAATTGGCGTTTCGCTAGGTCTATTGGGCAAATTACTCGAGTTTAGTTGCTTTTCTCTTTCTTCAATATCTTTCAATAACTCTTGCTCTGCATCATGTGTCAAGAATGGAATTCCTGAAAAAAAAAAATAAAAAAAAGAGAGTAAAATTTGCTTTTGCTACAGAGGCACATTCACTGAAATTGCTCCGATGTTTATCAGTTACTTGACCTCTTGAATGTTGGTAAGTCTGACTTCCAAACGCAGGCATATAAAATTGGGAAGTGATTTCTAGACATGCATGTTGAGAGGTACTGAAGCAATTCTATTGACTGTGTGGTGCGGAAACGTACTAATGCATCATCTGGAGCACAATTGGCCGAACTCGCATATTTGAAAAAATTAAATTACTCAAATGCATTTTTGATCCCAGTTAATGAGGTTCCATTGACAAGAATATGGTCTAATTGATTTTCTCTAACAAAGCTGATTTCTGTAGCCTGATTGTTGAAATTTTTTGTTTGTTGGGACGACATAGATGACATAGGTTAAAAGCAGAGAGTGATTGGTCGGCTATGACTTATCGCTGCTTTGTCGTGCCTTTGTCAGGTGGAATGGAGGACATACTGTTGGAAACTTAAGAGGTGCCGTTAGCTTGTCATGAGTTCAACCTGACATAGGCACAACAAAGCAGCGATAAGACATAGCCGACCAATCACGCTCCGCCTTTTAACCTATGTCATCTGTGTCGTCCCGACAAACAAAAAATTTCAACAATCAGGCTGCTGGAGTTTAATAAAGCCAGTCTTAAGGATGAAGTAAGGTCAGAATTCACACATCTCTTTTTTTAAAAAGACCTGTTGGTACTCATGCTTCAATTATTCATGCTGGGATTTTAAAGTTTACTTTATCAATTATATTCTGAAACAATTAAAGATGTATAAAATAATGACATACTGCGAAAATACGCAAAGTACAAACATCTCTATTGAGGGCTTGTCATATTAGGGAGTAAAGCTGTTGGGAAGCATTTGGCGCACCATGGCTCATCACTTGGTTGCAAATTTTAATTTGCATGATAAATGCATAATTTAACATTAACTGGGGTACTCAATATAAAAAATGGGCTAGAAAAGACTCCAGATCATTTAGAGTTACATGTATTCTAATAGATTAGCTTGCGGATCAGTCTAAATGTTCCTAAATTTTGGTCAGCATGGACAGGTTTTATTTGTTTGATCGAAGTTTACAATACTGAAGTTCTTCAATTCCATCAAGGTATGCAGACTGGTAGGTTTCTGAAAAATTCACCTCAGCAGACACAAAAATGCTTTTTTCACAGAAATGCTGTTACCTTATGTACATCAACATTTTCCTGCCACATTACAGGGTTAAAGGCATTATAGTAATTGCTTTTATTCTAGGTTACTCTCATACTTCTCGATTAGCTTTGAAACCTGGTAGCATACTAGTATACTAGCTCATTAGTATTCATTCGGAGGTGACGGATGGCGGCTGCTAGGAGGAGGAAAACTAGCCATTAAATGACTTGATATTTAAAACACCAGCCATCTTACAGTGTCCCTGAGAAAAACACTGAAGAAAAGAAGAAGCTGGTTAATAATGGTAGGTAACTGAGTGATATTGCACACTAGATGTATGATCTACTAGCCTTGCTATTTTCATAGTAGGATAGGAACCACTCAGAAGTTATGAACAGTAAAAAAGTGGACCAACATTCATGATTTCAGATGAGAAAGTGTAACATTGTAAAAAAATGCGAATTTTTGTTCAACAATGAGCTGCTTTAGTAAGATGCTTCATTGTTTTATTAAAAGTAGAAATTTGTTAGTTTTTCTGAGCGCTGAACACATTTTCAACTTACCACTTTTGAACAGTTTGTTGAAATCGAAGTTGTTGCAGGCTAGGAAATTTAACGATGAGCTTTGGCAACGAAATCTAAAATCAGGAACATCTCTGTTGATTGGGCATGGGAATATGTAGAAGTTGTAAGCAGTATGAGTGAACCTGAAAAGAGAAGCAGTTAAGATAAAAATTATGAAGCCAGTGCGTCGGCATAGAACTAATATTATTAAATGTTAAATCGGAGAAGATTTTATATTTTCTTGGATGAGTTGCTTTGAGTAGAATTTCTTGACTTTTCCAAGTTTTCCTGACTTTTCAAGAAATTGTCACCTTTTTTAAACTATTTTCCAAGGTTGAATTTGATGGCTACAGTAAAAAAATGTATATCCTCAATTGAAACTTTGCTCATCTTCTCTGGCGTTTTATTTTCGTGAAAGCTAACTAATTAACAGTTATTTTTGAGATTTCTTTTGCTCATTATGCACACTTACAAGAAAATCTCAGAGGAAAGCTTGGTTGGTTTCCACATAAAAATAAAGCATCACAGGAAATTTTAAAATAATGCAATCCTCAGTTTTTGACTTTTGCCATCAATACTCCAATGTTTGTTGAAGAGGCACACCCATCCTCTTTCCTTCTCAAGTGAGGGATTCATTCTCAAGCACTCCCTACCCTTCCACTTGGAACTAATGTACTTTAGGATCTTTTTTTATCCTTATAAAATTCCTCCGCGGTACCTTCCATGGACTTTTCATGCAGTCCAAATACCAAACTACTAGGGAGTACCTTTCATGGACTTTCAATGCAGTCCGAGTACCAAACTACACCCCTTGGAAGTGCCCTGCTGGCCTTAGAGGATGAGAATCACCATTCTAGTTATGTAAAACTTTGGTGTCTGCTGTGCATTTCATTTCAGTATCACTACATTTATGTAATCTCTTGATTTTAATTAATCACAGAACTCCATCTAAATTTGATTAGAGTCATAAAAATGCTCAATAATGATAAATGAATGGTTGGTAGAATCATACAGCAGATTTTATGAGTCTGAGCAAAAGAAGCCTCAGGTCTTCATCTGCAAGTCAGTGAAAAAATGCTCAGCTTTCATTCTAGACGTGTTTATAAAACGGACGTCTTCTACAAGAGACCAGCCTAACTCTGCTTTTTAACATCGGCCTGACTAAAATAATAATTTTTTAACTCATTAACAAAATTTAATTGTTTCATTTGCTAGTCTGTATAAATTGGTTAATATATTTACTTACTGAGTTGTTTATAAGTTACGTCAGGTACTTATTTTATTTTGTCAACTCCCTTAGCTTTCTTTAAGTCATAGCTCTCTAAACTCTCCTAAAAAATGTCTCAGGATGCGCATCCTCTCCCCCAAGTTTTGGGGGAAAAATACAATTTTATAATGTTCCTCTTCTTAACCTTTACTAATGCTTAATCTAGGTACAGGCGTTTCTTGAGTCCTGTCAGATTAAGCTTACTTGAAAGAGGAGACAGTAGGCCCTCTTCATTTAGCATCTCTACGCTCCTGTCACCTTCGATGCGTCACAGGTTGGCCCCTTATATGGAAGAAAAATGCTATCAGACAGCCAGGTACAAGTCTACTTTAAATTGATGTGCATATATCTGATACACAAGTTACCTCTTAAGGGTCTGATTATACTTGAAAACACAGAGACCAAACTGAATCAATAAAAATTCCGAGCATCCATTTCGTATTTTGTCGAAATATTGCGCTGGAGTATCGAAAGGATTGGCTCGAGGACCACCATCATTGAGCCCAGTGAATTCACCGTCAATAGCCAGGAAAGAGGCTTCATCGATTGATTTTTTTATGTCCGGGAGGAGGGATTGAAAATCTGAAAAGAAATAGGTAAATAAAATACAGATTAAAAAAGTTAGGAAAAAGAATATTTACAATCTACGGGTGTATCTGACTTTCATACTTGGGTATTCATGTGAATTTTGAAAAACTCTGACATTACAATCAAGATATTTATCCTAATGATAATTTTACTCATGGCGTTGTTTCCCAAACAAAAGAACATAACTTCTGGACATCACTGCAAAATTTGCACTTGCAAGTTGTATTATTACGAGGAAGCAGGTGGGCGTTTCTGACAAAAAATTTCACTGATTCTTCTTCTGCTCACCAGCTAAAATCAACAACAATTTGTTTCGAAAATGTCACCTTGAAATTGAGTTACGTTCCTTCCCTGGGAAAAAATGATTAGAATGAAATCAGTTACCAAAAAACTGTGTTGCAATGATTAGAGCTTGCGCATCGTATGTTGAGACAAACGTCAAAGTAGGTATTGTTTATGTTACCATTCACCAGTGGTGCCACCTGACTACATGTATAAACCTGTTGAGTGGTGCAAATTCAGAGCTAATCAGAGATTGACGTTTGTCTCAACATACGATACGCGAGCTCTATAATGAATTGCATACAAAGATGTTACTTTTCTTAAAGCGCTCTCTCGTTTTGACGGTGTAAGGCGGCAATCATATAACTCGGTTTGCGACGTCGCAGATTTTTTGTCATACTTTATTTTTAGAATGGAAAATTACTCAACCGTAATTCTTTAAAACTGCCGTGATTTTTCTTCTCTGTGCAAAGAAAATTCAGCAAAAACTTCAGTAAATGATGTCCATTTGTTCTCCTTTAAAAAAATAACTTGGAGGCGGAGATTTTCAGACACCGCAAACGAGTTATGTGATTGCCGACTTACACCGTCGTTTGGCTCTACTATGCCTTGTAAATTCATCTCATTTTCTGATCAGATGGGTATGAGAATACTTGGTCTGAGATTTTTTAAACTGAAACCAAGTTATTAGCACCTAGAGCTATCCTTCAACGGAGCGAGAGATACCTATACAGGTAAAAGAAGTTACTTTTATAAAAATGTGAGATGCTTGCGATGGAACTTGCCTCAAAATTCAACTAGAAATTCCATGCCCAGTAAAAATTTACTTTTCAAGTAAAAAAATTAATTCTTTAAATTCCTCCTCATACGATCCTGTGTATTCTCCGCACCATTGACCAGATTACCTCAATGATTCGGTATGGGTAGGTGGTATTGGCAAACGGTACGGCAAATTCAGAGCTGAGTAAATATGAGTTGTACATGTAATATTTTGCATCAGGCTAACTCGCGTTAACATGATGAGAGCTCGAAAGTTTGTTAGGAGCGAGTTGTATGCAGATAAGCAGAGATACTTACTATCTTTCGTTACTTCCATAGTTGAGCGTGGCAGAAGAATTTCATCTCACTGAAAAAGAGAAACTAACCATCATGATAAACAATTGAAAACACAAAAATTACGAAGATGACAAAATTTCTTTGAATAAATTGATGGAAATAACTGATAAAGGAAGGCCGAAACTTCAATTGTCACTCGGCAAACGGCAGTAACGGCACATCGGCTATTTTGTAAACAAACACGCCGTGCAGTTGGTGTTGCGTGCGCCTTCGGTCGTTCCGATGAATGATGGAAACTGTTGACGCGCTATGAATGGCTCAATTCAAAATCACGCGGGGTTTTTCGTAACGTCGCATACATGAAAAGTGTGCGCATCACAAAACAAAGGCAATAAAGATTTCTACATTCAAAAGTCAAGCATAACATCCGTCATCTGCCTCGGAAGACGTTCCTAAAGTTTCGTAACTTAAAAATTTGATCATTCTGAGCCACTGAGCCGCACGAGAGCCTGCCAAGACAGAAAAATGCAGGAATCATTCTGGAGACTTAAACGCAGCGCAAAAAAGTAGGCGTACAGACCATTTGTAAGTAATCGTCAGTGTTCGACGCACGGAGACCTGAATATCGACGGTGTAAGTCGGCAATAACATAACTCGATTTTTGGCGGTTTTGAGTAAGCTGCAGAAATAAAGTGTAGTAAATTTAATGCCCTTTACCTGCTATCAAAATATTTCAGTCGAAAAAAATCTGGAAGTCACCTAAAAACGTAGAACTCAAAACACATATCGACGGTGTAAGTCGGCAATCGCATACCTAACTCGGAAAACGCGATTTTTCAGGAGAGGGGAAAAACTCTCTACATTCCTCATCTTTGAAGGTAGAGGAGAAATTCTTAGAGACAGCAAGGATAAGATGCTTCATAAGACTCTATCATCATTTTAAATAATATTCGCGTCTGTCAGGAGAAATGACCGAAAAACCGAGTTATGTGTTTGTGGAACTAAGGTCCAACACTGAATTCCGAAATACGTGGTTGGCGAATTACTGATTCAAACCTATTCTTTGCCGATGTTTACTGAATAAAGACCGAATAAGACTCCTCTCACTTTAAAAGTAACCTAAAGTTCCTTTTAACAAACTTTAATTGGTAGAACAATTCGACGGCGTAAGTCGGCAATCACATAGGTAACTCGGTTTGCGACGTCGCAGACTTCCTGTCATACTTCATTTTTAATCGGAAAACTACTCAATGGCAATTCTTTAAAACTGCCGTGAGTTTTCTTCTCTATACGAAGAAAATTCTGTATAAACTGCAAGAAATGATGTCAAATGTGTCGAGGTTCTCCTTTTAAAAAAAATAACGTAGAGGCGGAGATTTTCAGACACCGTGAACGAGATATTATGCGATTGCTGACTTACGCCGTCGAATTATTTTACGAATTATAATGAAATGAAGATAAAAATAAGCGGACGATTACTCAGTTATCCGTCGGATTAGATGTTAGATGTTAAAACAATAACAATGTTTTTGTTGTTAGAAGATTCCGTGACGTACTAACTTTTAATTTTCCCTCCTAAACTGTTCCCAATTCTTCCCGGGAAAGCGCGCGTTGTGTAAAAATACGGCGCGACGGCACGAGTTATGTGTTAATGGAATTAACGCCGAGATATTAAGTTTCAGTAAATGGGACCCCTTCAAATAGGAGCTAGGCAACATACACAACACTCAGTTGAATAGCAATATTCACATTATGTAATTACTACGTATTGCAATCTGTGCGACTTGGGGCCCCTTTGACGGACATCGGAACTCGAAAAATGCGTTTTCCAGATTGCGACGAAAAGTGAAAAATGCGTTTTCCAGATTGCGACGAAAAGTGAAAAATGCGTTTTTCAGTTTGCGACGAAAAGTCTCCGATCATGTTTTATTTTTTGAGTGAATATCAACCAATATACTTATAATCATGTATTCTAGGTAAATCATAGAAAACTTCAAGGAACCATTTTAGTCAGTAATCCTTGCAGAGAATAAAACATATAATCGGAGGTTTTTAAAACGCTTAAAAGTGAGATACTTACATCTTCTTCGCATTTAGCCATCGATACATGACGAGCAGAAATTCAAAACCTGGCGAGCGTCATCAGGTTATTGCTAAAATATGCATGTTGCTCCTCAGCGTATGCCCCGTCTTCATGAGGAAATTTTCTCTAAATTTGGTCTATTAGAAACTTAAAACATTAGGTATAGCAACACCTGATAACACTTACAAGATTTTGAATTTCTGCTCTGAATATATATAAAAAAAAAAAAATCACAGCCTCTACAGCTTCGTGTTGCTCTCACCTGAAAATTTCAGTTTCGCACGGTTCAATAAAAAGATTCTCAGGTTTTGACGTTACTCATTTATGTTTTTCATGTGTACAGCTAGAAACTAGAAAGCACAACTCGAAAAGGAATGGGGAAACAACTTTTGAAAAGCTCATTTCCACACCACCTTAGGAGAGTCCGATCAGGAAAATGATACGGTACTGCTCCTGGAGGTAGAGCTTTCGGCGCGCTTTTTTTAACGTGGTGTCGCCATGAGCCCTAATCCACGGGGGAGGGGGAGGGGGAGGGTGGACAAAATAGCACACTTACCATCGCTGACGTAGCTCCAGCTTCTTCTGCTCCATGCCGTTTTTGATTCTGCTAAAAACAGCTCTGCTCCTGAGACGGAAGTAGTGCCCACTAAAACTGATTAACGATTATAACCCTTATCTAGCAATGAGGCGAAATAAAACGGTATCTTACCTTCGGTTGCGGGAACAGCAGCAGCAGCACCTGAAACAGAAGAGAAAAAAAAAAAAAAA